GTACGAAACTGATTGAAGCCTTAAAGGGAAATTGTGATTAACTCTTACATTTTGCTTGAAGTAAAACATGTTTTATATTATAAAATACAGACTTTTGATAATAAATTAATGCAATGCAATATTGTTACAGAGTTATAAAAAAAATTTAGTTATATTTTCTATATACAACATAGTTGTATGTCGAAAATTTTTTAACAAAAATACATCAATTATTATTGATACATTATTATATTATTTCCATTGTTTAAAGGTTCTCAGAATTTAGAAATGTTGATAAAAGTAATTTTTTAAAATTTTGAAATAAAAGTGTAAAAAGTATAGCTATACGTAATATTCCAAAATATATTTGTCCGATTTTTCAAATGCACATTGTTAAATTTTATACTTTAATACTGATTTAAAGAGAATAGATTTTAAAACCTCTGAAATGTAATCAGGTTATCGGTTTTTAAAATAAAAAAAATTAGAAAATCTTAAAGTCATTAAACATAATATTTTATCTATAAAACACATAGATCGTATTCATATAGAAATATTAAAAATAATCGCTATAGTACTCTTTTATATCTTTAAAATTATCAGAATGTAAAAGGAATGAATATAAAAATATTATTGCTCAGGCTATTTAAATTGATTACAGTACTGTACGTTCTATATTATATTTTGAGCTAAAATATTTTGAAAATATTAAGTAATAATTCTTTACAAGTATACAAAAACAAAAGTGATAATATCCTTTTGTAATAAAAGTCACATTTTGATAATTTCAAATTTATAGATTTTCTTTAGATGGGTTTTATTATATGAAAACCATTTTGATAAAAAATAAAACAATATTGAAAAAAATTATTAATAAACGCACACCATACGTAAGTATATTTTTTTTTATATTTTATGGTAATTTACTGCCCAATTAGTTTATATCTTTTTTTTTATTTTATTTGTACTCAGTTTGGATTTATTTATTTAAAATCAATAAAATGGAAAATTTTACTGCCAAATAATAAAAATAAAGATGCTAAAATAATAAAAAACAAAATCGAAAATAAAAATTTTTTAAATAGAAAAGTAAAAATGTGCTAGCAATATTGATTCTGCGTTCTAATAGCTTTAGAAATCATCATAAAAATTTAGACATTATAATATGTCTGTGTCAGTATTTCATAAAAAATATAAATATTGTGACACGTTGATAACAAAAAAAGGGTCTTATTATAATAATTTTAATTTGATAGAAATCAATATTCAATTATTATTAGATTTCTTTTTCAATAATTCTATGGCATACATTTCTATGGTAATTAAATTTTCATATAGATTTTTAAAAATCTCACAACTTTCCTATGGAAAACAACTGCCCTAAAAGAAAGAGTAAACATCCTAATACAATTAATAAATTACAAATTATATTTCAGTATAATGACAAATTACATTCCAGTACATAAAATAAAGTAAATGTGTGTTTCCAATATGTATCACTTTGATTTCACACTAATAGTTAGGGGTGATATTCACAATATATTAAGAATTTTTAGAAATTAATTTCAAAACTCATTACAATATGATATTTGTATAGAAAAATTCAATAGGCATTTGTTGATTGTAGAACAATTCGTTTTGAAAATATGAAATTATTGTAAAGTCTTAATTAATTTTAGGAAAGGAATACTTTACACTATAGGCAACCTTTTTTTAGTTTCTTGGATTGAAGTGTTATTAAAAATTTTGTTAAATTATTCCAAAAAATTTTGTTTTCATCAAAATAAAATATGCAAATATTATCACAGCCCGTATAAATATGATTAATGCTTTAACAATAAATCCACATTTCACAATAAAAATGTTCGTGTCTACTTCAATATTTATTTTCTAAAAAAATTAGCCTAAAAAGTTTTTTTTTTAAAAAGTAGGACAATATTCTATACTTTATAGTGTTACATAAAATATCAAAGCATATAAAAAATATATTTAAAAAAAAAACCATATTTTCTAGTTTTATTAAAAACAGAGCATTAACAGAGAGTAAAACTTATTTTTTACGTTTTTGAATATTGAAATTTGGAATTCAAATCCCAGTATTATAACTAATCGGGAATAAAATCATAATACGAATAAATGAAGCAAAATGGCCACCAATTGATTTTCTCAATCAATATGATATTTTGATTAAAAATAAGTCAAATGTCAATGTGAATGGCAGAAAAATCAATTTTTAATATTTTTCTCGTTATATTTTTATAGTCTACTATACACATACACATATTGTAATGCATATATATTCACATGTACATAGAAACAGAAAATTGTTGTACCCTTACGACATAAGGGTATACTAAATTTCCCTTATCGTTTGTTACGCTAAGAAATAGACTCTCAAGTATATGTTTTTGACCATTAAAAGTCATTAAAATTGCCTGGCTCCTTCTGGTGCCATACAACTTCAAAAGTTTTTTGGCATTATCTCAGAAGCTATTGAAGCTATAATATAGCAATTTCGTGAACACAAGTTTATTATTAGGGCTGTTATGTGTGACAAAGTTCATTGAACTTTCTTAACTCCTTGTGGTAGCTGCACTACAACTTCAGTAATAGTCTGTCCCATATTCAACTATGGTATATTCACCCATCAATAGGATAACAAATTCGTATAGAGTTGAATATGAGCAAATCTATTTTTTTCGTTTCAAAACAAAAATTCATTGTCTTTCCACTTATTTTTGTTGGTTTTTAGCACTTTTCCAAAAAAATTTTTGAAAAAAGTGCTTATTAGTTTCACTCTGTCCGTCCGTGGACACTTTTTTTGTTTACAAAACTTCTACACCCTTGATGATAGAAAGCTGAAATTTCATAAATACATAGATCTTTACTAGAAACTTATTTCCGTAAAACAAAATTTTTACCTATCTCCCCCCCGCTAGAAGTTATACCCCCCCAAAACCCTAAAAATGGCCTTTTTTAAATATTTGTTGCAATGAAACCATAAGCATTTTTGAAATTTTGTAAACGCAGAAAGGCAGTGGCTTGCTTCCCCTAGCGCGGTATACTATAGTTAAACTTTAGAAAAACAAAATGGCCGTTCGAGTTTACCGTTATCTAAAGTCCTTTTTTTCCAAATTTTTGATGTCGTTTTTCTTCTAGACCCCATACTCTAGAACTTTGAAATTTTAGGGACTTTTAGACATTAGCAAATAGTTCATTTCGTTAGAAGAAAATTTTTTTCCATCTCCACCCCCTCTCAAGTTATCACCTCTTGAAATTCGTAAAATTTGAATTTTTGACACCTTATATTTCCGAAACCGCAAGCTTTTCCAAATTTTTATAAACTCAAAAAGCTAACGGTAAATTCCGTGAAATTAAAAAATATAATTATTTTTCTTAACTCACGCAATTAACCCTTAAAATCGAGCATTATGTTAACCCCTTTTTATATTAATTTTTGCTTTATTTCAAAGACTGCATATATGCGTCATCCTAAATATATGCAATCCCAGAAATAGTTTTGTATATGAAGGAAAATAATCTTTATAGTGTGATAGGTATACATAGACTGTATTTAAAAGCAGAATTTTCACTTGTTGAAGGGAAAAGTGGCACAATACAAACCATTGGTTTGACCCAACTTTATTATACCCGTACGAACGTATGTTCGAAGGGTATACTAAATTTGCCTTACCGTTTGTAACGCTAAGAAATAACGGTCTTAGATATAGACTCAAGTGTATGTTTTTGATCAGCGTCAAATTCTGAGTTGATTTAGCTTTGTCTGTCCGTCCGTCCGTCCGTCCGTCCGTCCGTCCGTCCGTCCGTCCCAACGATAACTCAAAAACTAATTGAGCTAAGTTCACCAAATTTTCACAAATGATTTATTGTACTAAGTGCCAGAACCCTATTTAAATTGGACAAGATCGGGGTACCGGTTCGGGTAGCTGCCATACAACTTCAAAATTTATTTGGCTATATCTCAGAAACTATAAAAGCTATGGTATTGAAATTTTACACAAATGAATATATTAATAGGGCCAATGTGTCTGATAAAAGTCGTTGAAATTACTTGGCTCCTTCTGGTACCTGCCATACAACTTCAAAAGTTATTTGTCTATATCTCAGGAACTATAAAAGCTATGGTATTGAAATTTCACATAAGCAAATATATTAATAGGGTCAACGTGTCTGATAAAAGTCGTTGAAATTACTTGGCTCCTTCTGGTACCTGCCATACAACTTCAAAAGTTATTTGTCTATATCTCAGGAACTATAAAAGTTATGGTATTGAACTTTCACACAAACGAATATATTAGTAGGGCCAATGTGTCTGATAAAAGTCGTTGAAATTACTTGGCTCCTTCTGGTACCTGCCATACAACTGCAAAAGTTATTTGGCTATATCTCAGAAACTATAAAAGCTACGGTATTGAAATTTCACACAAACGAATACATTACTAGGGCCAATGTGTCTCATAAAAGTCGTTGAAATTACTTGGCTCCTTCTGGTACCTGCCATACAACTTCAAAAGTTATTTGACTATATCTCAGAATCTATAAAAGCTATGGTATTGAAATTTCACACAAGCGAATATATTAGTAGGGCCAATATGTCTGATAAAAGTCGTTGAAATTTCTTGGCTCTTTCTGGTAGCTGCCGTACAACTTCAACAGTATTTTGGCACAGACAGTATTGTGACACATTGTACTGAAATTTTGCATAAATTAATATACGGCAACTACATAGTCAGTTATGGCATCTTTATTCGCACATAGGATAACAAATTCGTACGGGTATCACAGAGTTGACAAGGTCAACTCTATTTTTTTCTCGTTTTAATTTGTTTTTAAATTTTTTTTTTATAAATTTGTGATAGGAACTGACTTCTTACTTACAATTATTAAATTTTTTTTTTTTCATTTAATGATAAAAATGACTAATTTTAATAATAAATCTATTAGCAATGCCAAAATTGTACTTATATTAAAACCGCACACGACACGTGGGACTACGTTACCTTGGATTAAATCATCAAAAATGTCATAGGATTCAACTTCGTGTTCGAAAGTATCGAACTTCATTTTATGGTGCGAATGAATTACATCAAAAAAACGTTGTTCCAAAATAGAAGCACGATGAGCTAAATAATAATTGCCTTCATAATATGAACGATGAGAATTATCTCGATTTGGGAAGAAAACACCATTATAATAACGGAGTTCTGTGTAGTAGCCAGCGTCAAATTTATCATTGTATTTGAATACAGGTATTTCACCTAAATCATGTGACAAACGTTCCATGTAGTATCGAGCTAAGAGTTGCCAATGAAGAAACAAATAAAAAGCACCACGATGATCATTCTTTAAGGGAGCCTCAATTAAACCTTCAGTCCAGTATGGATAATCTAAATTGTAATAATAGTAGAATTGATTCAAGCCAACATCTTCAGTGAAATACGATAATACGTTTTCATAATTGAAATGTCCACGTTCTCCAGTGTAGCTGCTCTGTATAACGATCTGGTAAACATTGTCAACTTTTTTGATTTCATGAAAACCATGCATTTTGTAGAACTGAGCTTTTTGGATTGTTTCTGAATTAAAAAAATAATATGGGTTGATTTCATAAATTGCTGGTAAAACAATACCAACAGCATCTGGGCGATGTAATACAGCAACCGTGATTGAGTAGAGAAATAATTGTTTATTCGCGTGAAAACGAGCCCACAAGGCCACGTTCTGTGTATGAAAGCTTGTTTTGCTAGGAAATCGCTTTCAGGGTATTTTACTTCAGAACTTATGTAAATACTAGAAACTACGACAAATAAAGCAGAAAATATTATTACTACTATCCTCATTGTGTTGAATTAAACATGAACTAAGCATTTATTTGCTTTTATACTTTCTTTTGAATCAGTAGAAAAAAAACAAATTGAAAATTTGTTTTCAATTTGTTTACTGATTCTAAATTGTTTAAGATTATTTAATCAATTATTGCGTACCGCACATCAAACGTAAATATTAATAAAGTTGGGTCAAACCAATGGTTTGTATTGTAGCACTTTTCCCTTCAACAAGTGAAAATTCTGCTTTTAAATACAGTCTATGTATACCTATCACACTATTAAAATTATTTTCATTCATATACAAAACTCTTTCTAGGATTGCATATATTTAGGATGAACGATTTATGCAGTCTTTGAAATAAAGCAAAAATTAATATAAAAAGGGGTTAACATAATGCTCGATTTTAAGGGTTAATTGCGTGAGTTAAGGAAAATAATTATATTTTTTAATGTCATGGAATTTACCGTTAGCTTTTTGCGTTTATAGAAATTTCAAAAAACGTGCGATTTCGGAAATATAAGGTGTCAAAAATTCAAATTTTACAAATTTCAAGGGGCGATAACTTGAGAGGGGGTGGAGATGGAAAAAAATTTTCTTCTAACGAAATGAAGTATTTGTTAATGTCTAAAAGTCTCTAAAATTTCAAGCTTCTACAGGCTGGGATCTAGAAGAAAAACGACATCAAAAATTTGGAAAAAAAGGACTTTAGATAACGGTAAACTCGAACGGCCATTTTCTTTTTCTAAAGTTTAACTATAGTATACCGCGCTAGGGGAAGCAAGCCACTGCCTTTCTGCGTTTGCAAAATTTCAAAAATGCTTATGGTTTCATTGCAACAAATAGTTAAAAAAGGCCATTTTTAAGGTTTTGGGGGGTATAACTTCTAGAGGGGGGGAGATAGGTAAAAATTTTTTGGAAAGATCAGGGCTCGAAAACTGATTTGTGGGCCGATTTTACATTTTTCAGCATATCTGCGGAACGAATAGATAGAATATCTTTTGAAATTTAATATTTGAGTTCTGGTTGTTACCGAAAATAACTGGTGAGCATTTCAGGGAATTCTGGTAGCACAAAGCGAAACTCTACTAAGAGCCAAATTTACATTTTTCTAGGTATGTTAAATATAAGCTTACTAATGTCCTAAAAATTGGAAAGAAGTATTTAACAGACATTTTTATAATATTCCGTAACATTTTCACTTAACTGAACAATACACATTGCGTTCGGTTATGTGCTGACCACATCAGATGTTTTTTTTTCATATTATTCAAAGTTTTTGTAAATTTTCTGTAGCAATTATTGTTTATATACGCATATGGAGTAATATTGATCTTTATTGATTGAACATTGATGTTATAAAAAACTGTTTACCATCGAGGTCCACAATTATTCATTAAAGTTTTAACAGTTCCGCGAGAGCTATTCACAGCTATCTTCGTATACCGCTTTGAATTCAAATTCTATCGCCGTTTTTGAAATTTGCTAATACAATGTAGAATATTCTACTACTACTACTATTTAAATGTTAAAAGATACATTTATTTCAAAATGTATTGCGCACCAAAACTGTTTTTGAATTTTTTCGAACTTTTACGACACGTTAGTATTATAAATATTTTATTGATTTGTTAAAAATTTTATTATTTTCTACCATGAAAAATGGCAAACAAAGACGCCAAATGATGCTTTTTATGGATTTTATGAAAAAATATATTATATTCGTTATTCGTACTAAACAAAGTGCCTGTCGTAAACAATCTGGTCAACTTTCTCTATCTATAAAAAAAAAAATAATGAAAACAAAAGATTAACAGAATTACATAGAAGAAGTGATTAGTGACCCAATACCAGTAAAAAAATTCGCATAAAAAAAAACGATTTCTGAATATTTTAAATTATTCAATTATTGCCTTAAGGTCAAATAATACTTTTTAACACCAAAATACAATTTTTCACTTCTAAAAATTCATTGTCACTGCGTTGTCGCTTTAAACATGTTTGCATATATATCTATATATTTTACACTTATATTTTATTTATGTAGGTACCTATGTATGTATATTGTTTTCTTTCAGAAAATTTTCAGCATAGTTAGTCCATCTAATTCAATCTAAAGTTGGTTTGCTAGTGTTGGATATTTCCTTTTCCTTATTCCGTTTGATTTTACATTTGTTTTTCTTTTGTATTTTTTTTATGTTATTCCTTTAAGTGTTTTGGTAAAAAAAAGAATATACTGAAAAAAAAAATTAAAAAAATAAGCAAAAAAATAAAAATAACGAATTTAAAGGAAATTCTGTAAATGATGGCGAGCATTTAAGATTAAAAAAGGATAAAAAGGAAATTTTCCTGTTCTTGGTTTCTATTTGAGATATTTTTGTTGGAATGTATGTATGTATAATATAAAAAAAGGAGTACCAAAGAATATTAGACAAAATCTGTAATGTACCATTATATTTTAATACATTCACATATTTATTACATGCATACTTATACACATTTACTTATGTCCGTAAAATATAAATATATGCGAATTAACTACACAGAGTGTTCGATACTCGATTGTACTTTCTTAAAAAGTCGAAATGGTTTCAGATTTACAATAAACATTTAATAATATTTTTCCTGTTTGCGTCGCCCTTTTCAAGTTAGGGATGCTAAAAGTTTATATTTTTGAAAACCGCCCAATTTTTACATCATTTTACTTATTACTCAAACAATAAGTAAAATAATCTAAAACGCCGTTAATATTTTTTTGATCGTCTAAATCTATCCTATCACTCTACCTTAGGGGAATCATCGAATCTGGAACACCCTGTATTCTTATAATAATATTTATGTCTACATTATTAAGATTGAAAAAAAGCAAAATTAAAACGAAACAAAATATACTTAAAAAAATAATTGTAAAAATAACAGAGATAGAAATACAGTGAGCATATACATACATTTTATATTATATACCTACATAATTACATATAAGTATTTTTATTATTTCTTTTTTGTTATGCTCCTAGAGTTGTTATCTAAAGTGCACTTAAAGTAATTGCCAGTTAACGAGAAGCTAAATCTTGGATTAAAGGACAACGTTTTAAATGAAATGAAAGAAAATAATATAAATACAATATTTATACATACATGTACAAATGTATGTAATAAGCATGTTGTGCACCATTAAAGATACTTATACATTTATAAGCACATAATATCAAAATATATTTATATATAATAGCTAGAAATTTATTATTATTTAAAAAAAAAAAATTAAATAGTCCAGAGGTTTTTTATTTTATTTTCGTTTTGAAGAAAATGAAAATCCTAAAAACAAAGGAATGTTAAAAAAAATAAAAAAAAAATAAATAAATAAATTGTTCAGTTATATGTTTTAAAAAAATACAAAATGTATATTGAAAATAAGAAAAAAATATATTGGAAAATTTTTAAGTATAGCTGCAAGCTGAGCATATTACACATAATACTTATATATACGCATATGTATTGTTATTATCATGTATGTATTTTAGGATACGCTTTCGGGAATATCAAACTAACAACAAACACCTTCCATACATTTCTATTATTATATACATATATACCTAAAAATGTGTAATTGTACATTATAGATATTATAGAAATTGTTAAACACATAATACAATATATTATGTAATTTAGGATTATTAGCTATATACGAGTACATATAGTTGGTTTTGAAACAACATCCAATATCCATGAGAGATATCTAAATCCTTAGATTTATATCAATATCTATATGTGCGCTTAACAGTAAATTCAATATATACTGTATTTAGAGTTGAATATAGATACATTTTAAGGATATATTATTATTCTCGTTTTTTGCAAAACAAAAAAAAAAACACAAAATTAAAAGGAATTAGATTTAAAATTTCTATTTTTTAAGTGTTAAATAATTCCTTCTAGACATGTGAATTGCCGGAAAAAAAATTTACTTAAAAGGATTTATTTAATTTTTTTTGTTATTTTCTTCCTTCAAATAATTTTTTTTTACGTAAGTGTGTGTATATGTATACTGTTACATATATAAAAGAATGTTAAATGAAAATAAAATGAAAAATTAAATTAAAATAATTATAAATAAATTTGTGTCTTCTCTAATGAGAATAAATTGTCGATAGCAAAATCAATAGAGAAAAATAAAATAATTCGAACTTTTTTGTGTATAAAATTGTGCTAAAAAAATTTATAGAAAATTTAAATACATACTTATTTGATGATAATTTAAGAGGTATGTAAGAAAAAGTAGTTTAATTTCTGACAAACTGTTGAAAGGAAAAAAATGATAGTAAAATAATCAAATAAATAATTTGTTAACGTGTTGAGAGTTTCAAATTTAAGATTTTGACCACTATATCAGCTAAAAATATCATATGAAACGAGAAAAATATCCTATGTGCGAATAAATATGTCATACCTGACTATGGGACAGACTAGGACTTTAAGTTGCCATATTAACATTCTAATTTATGCAAAATTGTAGTACTGTGTTTTCAATATTTTCTAAGATATGGTCAAACTATTATTGAAATTGTATAGCGGCTACCAGAAGGAGCCAAACAATTTCAATGACTTTTATCAAACACATTGGTCTTACTAATATATTCGCTTGTATGACATTTCAATATCACAGCTTTTAGTTTCTGAGTTATAACCAAATAAATTTTGAAGTTGTATGGCAGCTACCCAAACCAGTAACCCGATCATATCCAATTTCAATAGGGTTCTAGCATTTACTATAACAAATCATTTGCGAACGTAGCTTAATTAGTTTTTGAATTATAGTTGGTTCGGACAGACGGACAGGCAAAGCTAATTCGACTCAGAATTCGAGACTGATATGATAAGAAACATACACTGGA